CAAAGGAGCTCTGTGCCTCCTGCTGATGTTTCTCCAGCACCTGCTGCCTCAATTTTACTTTTTATCTCCCATCTGCAGCAGAGCAATTATCTCCTGCAGCCAAGGCTCTCTGCTGCCCAGGGATGGAGCAGGGCACTCTTGGGCTGCACCAGAGGACAGTCACTGTGAAAAGGGTCAGCAGCTGAAGAAGCTCAAGACCCATCATCGCAGCAGGACAGAGATGTCCCAGCCCTCCTCTGGATGTCACCGACAACCACAGCTTCCGTGAGCCCTGTGGTTATCCCCGGCTGCAGGACTCCCACAGGAATGGATCCACGTGGCAGGAACAAAAGGGAACAGCAGGACCCAGCTCGCCTGCCCGGCCAGGGAGACCACAGGAGGGCTTCGGCCGAGGTGGGAGAAGCTCCTGGCAGCGCTGCTCTGGCGAGCTGAGGGGAAAAGGCGTGAGCGTGCAGTGCTTCAGGTCCAGGTGCCTTGCCCCAAATCACACACCTGCCTGAAAAACTGTGCCGTTAAAACTCAATAAATCTGTGAAGCGCTTCTGCGGGGCTCTGTGGGTTTTGATTCTGATTTTGAGGTGTTTATACCCGACCTGGAAAGATTGAAAACATGTCATTTACTCTGAATTAAGGCTGAGATTTTCCTGCGATCCATCACCTACCACTGGAAGCACAAAACACAGGAGGTTTGAGGGAAAAGGAGGGCAAAGCCCCACTTGTAGGGCGGTGCTTAGTGCTGTCCCTGCCACAGCATCGCAGCGTTGCTTACAGCCGTGTTAGCGGCAATATTGGTGGTTATTCCTGGGTAAAGCTTCCTCCTGCACCCACCCAGCGTGGGGACAGCATCAGGTGGCACCAAATGGGCTGCCAACAAAGTTGGCAGCTATGGGGGAATTTCCCCAGCTGCAGCGTTGGCCCTTTTCTCTCTCCTGACAGCACCAAGGACACGGGGCCCCTTGCTTAGCACCATGCTGTCCCACAGCAGCATGGCAGGGATGGCTGCAAAGCACAAACGCCTCATTTTATTTGCCGTTTATTTGCCTCTTCCCCCCGCTTGTGCTGGCCAGGCAGTTTTTGGACAAGCTGCCCCAGCAGCTCCAAGGGACAGGGGGCTGTGATGGGCTATGGCCATGAGGGGGACAGCAGTGACAGGGAGTGCTTCACACTGGGGGACAAACAACAAGCCTGGGGCTTGGGCATCAACAGCCCGGCCGGCTGCCGGGCCATGGTACCCAGGTCGCCTCAGGGAGTGCCCCTCAGGAGGGCTCCATACCTCTCAGCGGTGCTCCGCGCCCCCAACATGGCGCCGTCCCCTCCCCTCAGCCGCGCTCCCGCCCTCGCGGGCGGGCGGGGGCGGGGCCGGGGCGGCGCAGGCGCAGTGCGGAGCGGTGAGTGGGGGGCGCGGGCGCGGGGCGCCGGGGGGGCCGCGCACGGGGCCGCGCACGGGGCGCCCCTGAGGCGCCGGCGGCCGGGGCCCGCACCAGGCCCTGAGGTGCAATAAAGGAAGCTCGTTGGGGCCCGGGGGCGGCTGGGCAGCGCAGGCAGCCGCCTGGGCTCCGGTGTTGTGGAAATAAGCGGAAAATAAAGACTAAAGGCCGTGCGGTGCGCTGCGGCCAGCCTCGGCTGTGCCCCGGCCCCTCGCAGCCCCGCTGAGGTGGCCCTGAAGGGTCCCGGGGCTCGGCCGCAGCTCGGGGCTTCTTCAGGGCCTGGGCTGGGCGCTGTGGCTTTTAGCCGGGGTTTATAAAACTTTACATAGGTATGAGGCTGCATGTGGCCCTTGTGGTGCGGTCTGACTGAAACCACGGCCACTGCATGAAGCCAGGGCTTCACAGACACTGCTGGGGGCCCTTCAGGCGTGTGGCTGAGGCGGCCTCGCACCACGGCTGGGTTTGTGCTAGCAAACTCTGTTGGTGCTGTTTCTTAGCGGCCACTAATTTATTTATTGGTGTTCTGCTGCCAGAACTGGCCTAGCACAGACACGGTTTAGAGGCACAAAGCGTCAGGAAGCAGGCAGTGTGCCCCTGTTTGCCAGGCGTGTTTCTGCCCCGTGCCGTCCCACAGAATCTGTTCATGCTGTAGGGGTAGTGCTACTAGGGGATGGACTTCATTCTTCCTCTGTTTTTCTCTAACCCTGCCTTTAAATGACCAGCCAGGCCCACAGGGATGTTTTTCAGCTGCCCCCAAGGTGTTTTGTGGTAGAAGCATCCGGAAGGCTGACCCAGAGACTCCTGACATTCAGTTTGGTGTCAGAGTGCCGCTCACAGAGGCGAGGACCGTGCCTGCAGGTTCCTGGGTCTGCCTTCTGTCCGGCTGTGTGTCTGATAGATCTTCAGGGGTACAAATATGTTCCTGGGAAAGAAATAAGCTGGAAACATGCAAAGCCTGGTGAGGTGTCAGCTCAGCCCTTCAGCCTGCAAAGCTCTGCCCGTGCCCCAGAGACAGCTGGTGTTGGGCCTGCCACTGCCACCTCCTTCCTCACTGTGGAGAATTTTTTCAGCGTGAGCAATACAAGGCTGTGAAAACTTCCCATCGCCCCCAAGCCCTTTTTCTCTCCCTGCTCTTACCTTGCAAAGAAATGGAAGACTAATTAAATACCAACGTGGTCAAGCTGGGCAGGTGTGATTCAAAACACATCAACTCTATCCTGAGAACATCAACTCTACTGCAAGGCAGCGGATTATTGCGATAAATTTAGGGATAATAGTCAGCCCTTCCACGCGCTAATCCTCTCTGCTACCGACTCCCTCTGTGGCTTTCATAACCCACCTCAGCTCTGTTACCACTCAGGTTTCCCCTCTGAGAAATAATGTTTAACTTTCACGCATGGAGTAGGTGGATCAGCTTTAATTAAGATTTGCAGAGCGCTTTGTTGATAAGCTCCCTATAAAGCTGGTTATTATTTATTATTAACACAGATATTCTTAGCGCCTGAAATGAATAATGCCACAACACCGGGGATCTTCTGGGAAACAGCCATGTGGAAGGAGACAGCATGTGTTAACAGAGGCTTTGTCAAATTTCTTCAGGCTGCAGCTTGTGAGGCAGCGCGTTCGTAAAGCTCCTGTTCCAAAACAGAAAAAAAAAAAAAATCAATAAAATTGGAGTTGCTGTGAAACCTTCAGCGTGGCACAGGTTGGCTTGGTGGCACACGCAGCTGGAGAGCCTCGTTTCTGAAAGGTGCCAGAGCCAGGACCCGGAGCGGGCACGGCTGCGCTCGCGCTGTGTTGCTGTGTGGGTGCCCCTTCAGCAGCGTGAGCAACTCCATTGTATTTTGGGGAAGGGAAGGCTGTTAATTTAGCTCCTAAATGTCACTGCTCTAGCGGTGTAGGAGTGGCCAGATGGAGGGTGCTAAAACAAAATACGGGGCTGGAAAAGCCACCGTGTCCCTGCTTCTGTCCCGGGGCTGGATGAGGGGTGCTCATGGCCAGACTGATGGCAGCGGGCGCTGGCTTAGGGTTGGGGTGCAGGCAGGTTCCTGTAGGGCTGTGGCAGGACCCCTGGCGTGGGTCTCTATGGGCATCACCCAGTGCCTGCGGTGCCTCCTGTGTTACGCCGCTGCCTGCTCCTGTCGCGGTGCAGCCCCTCCAGCTCGTGCCTTTGGGAGGAGCAGGACCAGCACCTCCTGTGGGCTTCCAGCTCTGCCCTCCCCGGCCTCGCTGCATTTGCAATTCCCCGTCTTGTCTTACAGAGCTGTGAATTTTATGCTGTTAAAGCCCAGCGCGGTGTTTAGTTCATTGCTGCTGGAGCCGTGGTGCTGCAACGCTGACACGCGTTTTTAGTCTAGTCCCTGATTTTCTTCGGCATTACCTCCTCGAGAGGTTTTCCCCTGTGCTGCATTTGTGCATCTGATCTTTGCTTTGGCTTTCTCCAAGGGTAGTTCTCTGCCTTGTTTTTACTGCTTTTCTTTTTATTGATCTGCGGGAGGTTTTTTTTGAATTTTCCTTCAGTTTATCAATTCTGATCATGACCTCTGGAGTGCTTCTAGCTCTTAACTGCTGGGCACCCTTTCAGGTTGTATAAAAGCACTTTCTCTTTCATTCTGCAGGCCATGAATGGGAAGGATGAATAGAAGCAGACCTGGACAGAGCTCCGAGGGTCCCTACGTGACGTTTTCTCCCTTTGCAGCAGGGAATCATTGAAAGCTACCCCTGGGGTGCACGCGTGGGTGAGTTGCTTTCTGTTCCTTCTGCAGCCAGTGCTGCACCTCGTTAGGGCGAGCTCATCTCGTCTCGATTCCTCTGGGTTGCCAAGGAGTGTCTGATGGATACGGGGAAAAGCCTGCTCGAGCTCCCGTGTGCTGGCTGGAGGTGTGATGGGCAGCTCTCCAGAGGGGGAATTGTGCCCCGTTTGTGCCCAGCAACCAGCGGGTTGCTGCACTTCCCTCGTAGCTCCGTCCGCAGCGAGTCAGGCTTGGCTGCATGTGACCGAGGCCGTAAAACCTCAGCTTTCTTCTCCTGCAGTCCTGAGGACGTTCCTTGTGGGGTTACTCCACTCTGGATTAAAACGGACTCGCTCTGGCGTAATTAATTACGATATTTCTTTTATCCCTCAGTGGTGTCTCCCTGTGGGAGCAGTGCAGGATGCCTCGTTCCAGCAGAGCTCTGCTTGTCACCTCAGTGCAAACGGAGTGTAGGAGGAGGAGTGGCTTTAACTGGTGAAATAGCCTCAATTAGGGGAAATGGCACTGTCCAGACAGAGCTCTAACTACCCCCGAGCTGTGTCAGCATGGAGCTGCTGTCTTCAGCTACTTGAAGGTGAAGAGGTCCTCTTACAAAGTGTGCTTCAGCCCACTCTAACATCTCTCTTTGCAAGTCTGTGTAACTGGGCGGTGAAACTTGGGCCCCCAGAAGTCAAGGAGAGCTCAGGGTTCCTCTGCTTTTCATCCCTTCCACCTCCCACGGCCGGGAGCTCGAGGTGCCTGGCCACAGCTGCTGCCTCAGGCTGTGCTTCCTCACCAGCATAAGGGAGAAGCTGTGCCCTGCTAGTTCTCGTGTTTGAGCAACAAATTCCATGGCTGGTGTCAGCACCCTGACCAAATTTCAATTCCAGGGAAGAAAATTCAGCCTCCCCAAAGCACGCCTGTGATTTCGGTTGGATTTGTCCTCATTTCTTGCAGCAGGGGCTCTCTGCTGTAGCTAAATGTCAGTGGAGAGGTTGTGTTCTGCTCTGGATACAGCTGAGTCTTGCTGGTGGATAAATTGCAGCCTGAATCCAGGTTGTAAGCCCTCCGGGCTTCACAGGATGCAAGGAGCTGTGTTTTATCCCAGGTGCGGGTTTGCAGGGAAGTCGGGAGGATTTTCAGTGAGCAGGTGGCAAGAGTGCTGGTTACGCTGGCTGTCTGCACAGACTCCCTGCCAAACAACTCAAAGGCCTGCTGCAGAGACAGGGGGAGATGGGAGGGTGGTTCAGAAACCTCGGGGTCACTGGCACACTGGCATGGGGGGAGGACAATGCAGATGTTGATCTGAAAGAGACACCGAGCCAGGTATACATCTTTGGGCCCTTACAGAAAAGACATTTTTTATGTCCTTTTTTTTTTTTTTTAACAGCTGCCTATTTTGAACCGAAATAGTTGGCTTTGATGAGAGTTTTTAAAGGTTTAACTGTTAATTTTAGAATTTTTATTTCAAGCGGGCTTTCGTGAAATTAACTTTTTCGACGCAGAACGCTTTAATGTCTTCCGTGTTGGTGCTCATTTGCAAGAAATCCATGTGCAATTATTTCTTATGTACCAGTTAAATCTATCAGCCAACAGATGTCAAGTGTAGCAAAAATGCTATAATAATATTATGGTCTAATAATAGTTATAATGATTCTAATTACCTGGCACGGCTTTTGAGAGAGGCAGAGTTGGAAACGAGCGCAAACGAAGTGTTTCACCTTGAACTGCAGAAGGAGAAAACGGGCACTCACCCAGCTCCTTGGGCTGCAGCCCCCTGCCCGTCCTGTCCTCGAACGCTCTGGTTTGAAGGGTGAAACCCTCATGCCCAGCACATTCAGGGACGCAGAAGAGCACTGTAGGGTGAGCAGCTCTCTGGAGGTACCTGACGCATAATGGATTGCTGCTCGTTTTCATTTTGTGATGTGAAGTTGGTGAGGAGGCCGTGGTTCGCAGGGAAGGATCCTTCATGCAGAGGAAGCCCAGGATAGGCTGGAAGTTGACAGCTTTCAATGATTATATGCTAGGCTGAACTTTTTGCCTCTAAATAATAGATTCAGCACACTGGTTGCTCAGCAGGGCCACCAGGAATTCAGCTGGCAGCTGCTGATCCCCAGCACGGGCAGCAGCTGTGAATCTTTTATCATCTTCCTGTAAAATGGATCCAGGTGTGTCCTCGCAAGGTTTCCTTTTCTCTTTCTTGTGGACTGATGCTCTCTGCTTCTCAGGAAAGCGAGCATCATATGCTGGGCAGCTGCAGCCCCCCTTTCCTTGGGGTTGATGCCAGTGAGGGCTCTGCTGTACTTGTGTTCAGGGCAGTTTGCCTTTGGGCTGGGTCTCTGCCCAGTATTGCCGTGGAGATAGGAGCTGCAGGCACAGCCTCTCCCAGGGGGCATGAGGGCTACCCTCGTTTAAAGAAAATGATTTCTCAGAGTAAATAATTTGTCAAAGAACCCTTGGCATGGCCCCAAATGCTGTTGAGGAGAAGACAGACCTCAGGTTTCCTGAAGCCTGAGCTGTGTGGCTCCTGCAGTACTCACTGCATTGCTTCACGAGCATCAGGCGGTGCTGCTGCGACCGGCGCTGACTCGTTAACCTGCCTGTGCTTTTACCCTGAGAAACCAAAGCTCCCTTTGTTTTTCTGCTCCACATAACCATCAGCGCTCTGTTTCTCATGCTGCGTGCCATGAAAGCTCCATCGTGCACCCCTTTCATCTCTCTGATGAGATTCCCTCTCCTTGCTGGTCTGAGTCCTCTGGCCGGGTTTCCAAAGGGCACACAGGGCAGGTGCTCGCGTTCCCTTCCTCTCTCTCGCTCTTCCCACTCCCGGTGTTTTCCAGCACTTGCCAATTTCAGGCCGCCAAGGAGTTCTCGGAGAAGCAGAGTTCCTGCCCCGGGCGTCCTCCCCTGGGACAGGCTGTGTGGATTCACCTCCTGTAGGCACCAGAAACCTGGACGGGGGAAGAAACGGGCCCGGTGTGCCTGCTGAGGATGGGAAGGCACTGGCAGGAGCTCGCCCTGGTGAGCTGGAGAACCTCTCCTGCATACAAAAGAGCACAGGCACCTTCTGGGCTTGTCTGACTTTGCCAGCACACACCAAGCCCTGAACGAGCTTGTGCTGGTCCAGGGGCTCGGGGATGCTGCCCTGGCCCCTGCTATGTGGAAAACATTCTCAGCAAGGTCTGGAGGAGCCCTCCGGCACCTCCCTGCCTCATCGCCCTCACATCTCATTGCAGTTTTCATCTGCAAACGTCTCTTTGCCCATGCTGAACCCCGTGTCTCCATTTCTCTGCGAGAGGATTGTTGAATCTGTGAATGTTTTGGGATGCTGTTTGAAGGACCCAATCTGAAGCTGTGTTTCAGTTACTGTAATGACCTACTAATGTGGGCATATTTCAAAGGCAGGCTAAGCAGTACTGCGGGCTTAATTAAATTGTGTTTTTCAAGTAAGCATCAATAGATAGACAATAACAAATGGTGGGCAATACAGCCCAAATTCACGCCGTTTCCTTTTCCAGGACTGTGAAAGTGAAAATGTGTAACCCCTAAAATGTACGTGGCCAGCTCGCAGCTGCAGCCTTGGTGCAGCTACTTCTGTGGGAGTTTTTCCTTTGTAGAGGGAATTAATTTTCTTCATCTCCTCCTGCCCACAGAATAAACTGTTGCACTATGCAAAACTTCCAGCGGGAGCCTTGAGTGCATTAGATTCTGCTGGAACCTCTGGTCTTAAAAGGTTTTAAAAGCAGAGTTATTGCTTAATGCATGGTGGCTGCTGGAGAAGTGTCCTTGGCAGGGTTAGCAGCTGACGAGCCGGGCACGAGGCGCTCGTTCCTTCGGTGGGAAGCAGCCGGCTGGCTACGAGCAAGGTCGGTGTCTCAGCATTGTTGCACCCACATCAGGAACAAGAAAGTGGTTTTAGGGCGCTCCTTTCCTTTGCTCCCGACGAGCGGGGAGCAATCAAGTACAAAACGTGTGCAGGGAAGCTTGCGAAGGCTGCTCGACAGCAGCAGGAGGCTGTCGGAAAGCGTAATGGCACTCGCAAGGGTGGCACTTCCACAAGTTCTGCAGGGGGAGAGAAATTCACTGGTGGTGCTGTAAATGAGTTCTTTTGTTTGGGTTTTTGCAGAGCATCGCTTTAGGAGAGAGCGAGATTGCTGTCTGGAGCATCTCTGAGTCCTGGCTGGCGTTCGGGTGGCTAGCGTGGATTTTGTTCTCTCATTGTTCAGAAAATTTCCCATTGTCTAAGAAGACAATGCGAATTTGCTGAGGAAGTCAGCGCGGGCGCCCTGGAGCTCCTCAGCCGTTTGATTTCTCGCTGAAATCTGCTCGAGTCAGAAATGAGGAAACTTTGCAGAGGAGGACCTGCTGTCCTCTGCTCGGAGACGGGAGTTGGAGCCGTGGGGAGGGTTTCTACCTGAGGCCTCGCCTGCCCGCAGGAGCATCTCCAGCAGCAGGAGGGTGGCTGGTAGCAAGCAGCAGTCCTGCCCGAGTAAGGCTGGCAAGAGAGAGCTGTGCAGCTGATGCCAGTCCCTGTGACTGGCGAGAAACCCTGCTACAGATGAAGTGGTGTCTAAATATGCCTTGTCAGGAGGCACCAGATGCTCTTTCAATAAATTCAGGGGAAAAAATGGCTGCTGAGGTTCGTGCTGGTACCAAGGGGAATGCCCTGTGCCTGCCTGCCTTGTGCTTCCCACGTTCTTTGCTTTAGGCTTGCTGTTTTTTTTGTTTTTTTTTTCCTCTTCTGACTTTTGTCTCTATGCAGTGTCAGTCCAGGCTCTGTTGCAGGATTTTGGGGCAGGCAGCCGCTTTTTGGTGAGTGGCAGCAGTGTCTCCTGCTTCTCTCATCCTTCCCTTAGATCTCCTGCCTTCCTCCTGTTCCTCCTCACTTTGATACCAGCCAACCCCCTTTGGGGATTAGAGAGCTTTCCATCCAGGAGCCTCAGGCCTGCTGCAGACAAACTTCTCGGGGCCCGCGAGGGCCTGGGCTGAGGGGAGGGCAGGGTGCAGGGAGCCGTGGTGGTGCTCGGGAGGGAACCCCAAAGGGCTGCAGGCCTGGTTGTTGTGTCATTAATTCAGTCCGTGTGACTGCACTTGCAGTTCGATTCTTTCAAATATTCTCGTCTTATTTACTCGGCTTCTTATTTCCATCTCAGTTGTGTTTATTCTAGTGAAACAGCTTTTCTGTTTTTCTTTTTTCTTTTTTTTTTTTTCCTGAAACATGTTTTATTCAGGGAGCTGGTTTGTCCTGTGCTGGAAGGAGACCCCTGGGCTTTTCTGAGCTGCCTGGGGGCTTTGCCAGTGCAGCCCTGGTGGGGCTGACATTGCCTGGGTGGGCACGGCCTCCGGAAAGCAAACCAGCCCCATGCCTGCCCTCTGCCTTGTTTAGCAGCTCCCTTAACCCCACAGGGCTGGAGCAGAGATGATGCTGACCCTTTGTGAGCAGCCAGGGCAGTGCTGCTCACAGGGGAGCAGAGCTGAAATCTCTGCTTTTGTGTCGAAGGTTTCAGGTCCAGGTTTTGGCTTTGTAATTGTGAGGTTACCTCTTCAGAAAGGCATCAGTGTGGTCTGTGGGGCCTCGTGCTGTGGCTGCAGAGAGAGCAGGTAAAGGGCAGGAGGGAGGAAAACACGGGAAGGAGCTGAGGATGAGTGAGGGGGGAGGAAGGAAGCTGAAGTGAAGGAGGGGGAGAGGCTGGCTGGGAGAGGAGCAGCGCTCGCTGCAACCCTGATGCTGTCGGGGCTGGTCTGCAAACAGCAGCCTTCGTGGGGGCTCCCTCGGGCACGGTGTGTGCCGTGGGGTGAGGAGCATGAAGCTTCTGGGCTGGGAGGAGCTGCAGCCTGGAGCAGTAGCTTAAAGCCCCAAATCTTTCTAATAACAGCTGCTGCTGGTGGCTGCCCCGGCCCGAGGCGTGTTAGGGATGAGAAGCGCTCTGCTCTTCATGTCGCCTGGGTCTGGCGCCGGCCAGCGAGGTTTCTTGGAGTTTCCTTTGGAGTTTGGCAGCCTTCTGCTTCAGGGGGCACAGTGGGCTCGCTGGAGTTGATCCGAGCTGACACATGACAAATTGTTTCTGCTGGTGGGCACTGGAGGCGGGCTGGTAGCTGGCAGCCTTGGCTCTGCGGGCAGCGGGGAGGTGCCCTCAGAGCCTGCTCGACAGCAGCAGCAGAGGAGTGCTCTTGTGGGCCGCCTCCCATCCCAGCCTCCTTTTTGCTGGCTGGTAAGCTGTGCTGTTTGCAGACATTATTAATGGTGCTCATGTGCTTGAGATGCTCTGTGTGCCTGTCGTTGTGGCGTGCAGGGCAGAGCCGGCCTTCCTGGCTGCCACGAAGGACACTCTGTTGGGTTGCTTTGCTTCTGGGCACCCTTTTAACTCTGCAGCGAGGAGAGGAATATTACTGTCCTCGGCAGAATTTAGTATCCAGTAGCGTTACCTCCAAAGTACACATCCCCTGTGAGATGCTGTAAATACATTTTATCTCTTCTATTACCTCTGGTTTCCGGAATATCTCCCCTAAGCATTTTAATCTTGTTTTCCAGGCATGTCTCAGGGTGAGGAATCGCTCCTATTTGCATCTTTGGGAGTAATTACCGTGTTCATTAATTTTGTCTCATCCTTGCTGTCCAGCTATTATCGCTTCCAAGAGAAAAAGCCCCCTGTAAATCTCCTCTGGAACGGGACTGGCTGCTTGCTTACCAGGAGGGCTGTCCGTGCCTGCAGGTCTGGGTGAGAACATCCCCGAGGCAGCCGTGTCGGCTCCTCCAGCACCTCTGGGATGTTCCTGGCCCTTCTGAGCCCGCTGGATTCCTCGGGCTGGCTCCGTGCTCCCAGCCTACAGGTGACAGGAGGCGGCAGGGCAGGCGGGACGGCTCTGGGTGGTCACAGCACGCAGCGAGCATGGGGGTGAGGCGGGAGGCTGCAGCTCGGGTCTGCCTCCTGAACCGCCTTGCCTGCAGAGCCCGGCTGCTGTTATGGGCCAGGAATTAGGGAGGACAAGCAGGGAAGCGTCCATCAGCCGGCCCTATTTTGTCTGGGCACTAAAAGCCAATTGGGAGGATTTTGGAGAAGTGCTGTTTGCTTTGAGCCTTTTTTTTCTCTTTAAGTCCAGACTCAAACTGGAGGCCGCTGTAATTATTATGTCATCCCGTAGAGCAGAACAAACATCCGCAGCATTTACTGCATAAATGGCAGGGTCCTTGCCTTGCAAACATCGTGCTGCCTGCCCCCGCTGCTGCAACCCCCCTACGTGTG